CTGCCGAAGTACTTCCTGCTTGCTTATCCCTCCTAAGCCCTAGACCACCAGAGATCAGGACCTCATATTTTCAGAGTGATTCCAATCAGCGCCCATCGATATAAATAAATCCGCCTCCAAGTTCTGGGTGTCCTTTCAGTGTTTCTGCTTTGCTGTTGGATTACAATAGTATATACATTGTGAAGATCAAAATGTTTTAATAATGACTTCAAATATATAGTTTTCAAATTTATCTGAGTGTCTAATTTCCTTCACTGTCATGTAACTTGAGTTATTTCAAATAAATTAAATTTTGTAAATTACATTTTAATTAATAAATTATGCAGGAAAGTTGAGGCTGAAGCCTCCATGTACTCAATGCAGACCAAATAGACTCTACCCCTCTCAACTATGTCTAGACATAGAAAATGCTTAATAAAGTCAAGTTATTCAAAACTTAACATCAGAAAAGAAAGATCTATAATACATTACTTCGTGGATCACTCTATTGCTTTTACTTGACAGATTAGAAGTTTATTAAATATCATGGTATTTTGTGTGATACAAGTTTATTATAATTACAGCTGTCGGGTTACGCTGACAAATCATTCATTGGAGCAGCTTCTATCATGTTGAAAACCCATAAAGAGCCTAATAAGGATGAAAATCTTGAGAAGGTAAAATTTGCAAGCTCAAATTCTTCATATAAAAAATACATTAAGACTAAAAAGATAGAGCTAGCGTAGAGAGAACAGACCCAGGCACACGAAGACCGAGGGGTCCCTCTGACTGTGCTACACATACCCACTATGAGCTCTCTTTTATCTAGCTTTTATGTCCCTTGTGGAGTCACATAGTTATCACGAAACCTCTCCGAGCAGCCCAGCAGCCCTGTGTGGGTTGCCTAATTACCATGACCTGCTCTTTGGCCACTTGGTTGCTAATTTTCCTTCCTTATAAAGGAAGGACTGCTAATCAATTCTGTAAACATCATCATAATTAATCTTTACAGGGGGACCTCACCCAAAAGTGCTGGGAAGTGGTGGGACAGGAGGTGGGAGGGGTCAGTGTAGTCCTTTAAATACTTGTGATCACCCTACAGGTTCATCTCTGAAGGCAGCTCTGGAGGGCTTTAGACTTATTCACTTTCGTCTTTACATAGCATAATTAGTATTTTCCTATAAAGCTCTACATACCAATCTGGAGGGGTCCAACCGGAGCCATGATGGATGACGAGCTGTCTGCCTTGGTAGTGGACAATGGGTCAGGGATGTGCAAGGCAGGTTTTGGGGGTGATGATGCCCCTCGGGCTGTGTTCCCATCCATGGTGGGGCGTCCCCGACACCAGGGGGTGATGGTAGGCATGGGCCAGAAAGACTGCTACGTGGGAGATGAGGCCCAGAGCAAGCGAGGCATCCTGACCCTGAAGTATCCCATTGAGCATGGAGTGGTCACCAACTGGGACGACATGGAGAAGATCTGGTACCACACTTTCTACAACGAGCTCCGTGTGACGCCAGATGAGCACCCCATCCTTCTCACGGAGGCCCCTCTGAATCCAAAAATCAACCGGGAAAAGATGACTCAGATCATGTTTGAGGCCTTCAACACACCGGCCATGTACGTGGCCATCCAGGCTGTCCTGTCCCTCTATGCTTCAGGACGGACCACAGGCATCGTGATGGACTCTGGGGACGGAGTCACTCACACCGTGCCCATCTACGAAGGCTATGCCCTGCCCCATGCCATTCTGCGTCTTGATCTGGCAGGCAGAGACCTGACTGATTACCTCATGAAGATCTTGACCGAACGAGGTTATAACTTCACCACCACAGCTGAGAGAGAAATCGTGCGTGACGTCAAAGAGAAGCTGTGCTACGTAGCTCTGGACTTTGAGCAGGAGATGGTGAGCGCAGCTGCGTCCTCTTCGCTGGAAAGAAGCTATGAGCTTCCCGACGGGCAGGTTATCACCATTGGGAATGAGCGCTTCCGATGTCCAGAAGCCATTTTCCAGCCTTCCTTTCTGGGCACTGAGTCCAGTGGAATCCACGAGGCAACCTTCAACTCCATCATGAAGTGTGACGTGGACATCCGTAAGGATTTGTACGCCAACACCGTGCTGTCTGGGGGCAGCACCATGTACCCAGGCATTGCTGACAGGATGCAGAAAGAAATCGTAGCCCTGGCCCCGAGCACCATGAAGATCAAGATCATAGTTCCCCCAGAGCGCAAGTATTCGGTTTGGATTGGGGGCTCCATCCTCGCCAGCCTGTCCACTTTCCAGCAGATGTGGATCAGCAAGCAGGAGTATGACGAGGCCGGCCCTCCCATCGTTCACAGAAAGTGTTTCTGAACGGCTTTCCAGGTGAAGGGGCTTCTGTTTTTCTCTTCTCGAGGTTGCAGTAAAGATGCGACTCTCAGCCACTAGAATTAAGGTAAATGGTCTGCTCTCCCCAGTGCGCACACCAGCAACTCTACCTCTCCATCCCAGCGTCCTGGGCTGTGGTCCAGGTAATCATATTAGGATCTCTCCCAGCTAAAGGAGAATTCTGATGCCATACTCTATGGGCTTCTATTACAGGGCTCCAGGATATGTAGGCCTGCTTCAGTGAAAATAAGTGACAAGAAGTAAAATCAGGAGAAATGTCATTTTGGAATTTCCAAGCTTTAAAACCTAGTTCTTGATAACCTATGCAATAACCGAAAGCCATCTAGACCTGAAAAAAGTGTATATTTAGCATTCAGCTCTTATTAGTTATAAAAGAATTATTTAATTAATAATACCTCTATACGCATAAGCACCAGGGAAATAAAATCTTACATGTTAAAATGTATTCATATTTCTGATTATCTGAACAGCTAACATGAATTACTTCCCCAATCATCATCAGCTTAGAATCTTGGTTGTTTTAATTGTTTTCCTTATTAAATGAACAGATTGATGTTGCAAATAAATCTGCTGGCCTGTCACTTTAACATCTTAGTTATTGGAATGCCACATACTTGCAAACTAGCAAAGGTGCAGATAATGCCTGATTTTTGGAATACACATTTTCATACCAAATCAGTGTTTTTCTGGTTCATTTTGACATCAGTGATTTTGTTTGCATTTCCTTGCATAGTGACACAGGCCTGGAAGATTTCTGTTGCCATGATTTTAGATATGTCTTTTATGAAAGCTTTTCACTGTAGGGAATTGCACTGCAATGTTTTTCTGAGGTGTAAATTTTAGAAACAGTATAGCAGCCCTCAGTGAGTTCTAGGAAAAATTTTAGAAATAGTATTTATCATTCTACTGATTAGCAATACTTCTTTATGCAAGTGGCCCTCAGTGTTATGCAGACCCTAACATGTTAGAAAATATCAATGGAAGGCAGGCTCCATAGTGTTGTAGCTAGCACTCTGGGCTCTGAATCCAGAAAATATCAATGTATCTAAGATATTTAATGAATCAAGTAGTGATTCTACAACCAATTTTAACTCCCGGTTGGTTTATTTTAATCTGCGATGTGATTTCTGACTCTTTGGCTATCAGGGTTATTTGTATTTTTAGGGATTTTTCTGAATATTGATTATATTTATTGGGGTTACTGTAAGATATTTTTTGGGAGAGAGGAATTTCTTTTTTTTTTTTTTTTCTCTTAGTTGGGAAACTTCTGCTTGTATTTTAAATCCCTAAATTATACTCTTGAAACATTTTTGTTCAGTATAAAACTCTTCAAATAATTTAATTATTTCATATTGGCTTTATCATGTAACATAACTTTTAGAAAATTATTTAGCCAGAATTAATCTGCAAAGGCACTTTATTTTGTAAGTCATGGAATCTCCTTTCATTAAATTAAAATTGCTTCACATTTTCTTGCTTGGATTTCCTGTTACTGCCCCACAGTCCTCCCCAAAGAACTAAAGCATGATTTAGAGAGGGTTATTCTACATGTATGGCATATTCATCTAATTGATACCATTCTGTACCAGGTACATTTGAACATGTAAATGTTAAAAGAAAACTAAACAGATGGCTAGTCAGATAAGATTACAAATTTCACAGCATCTCAATTTAAAAGTTAGGGTTTAGTGGATCATCTGGTGTTCAGGTAATTAATAGCCAGAGATAATGGCAACTGTAATATCTAGGATTTATATGCTACAACCCTTTCAATTTGCAGAGAGAGTCATTCTCACAAACATCCTGACCTGCATTTTGAATTACCAGACAAAACCACATCTCTCCACCCACAGAAACCTTATGGGACACAGTAGAGTTGATAGGCTGATATCTGGAGTCAGCTATCAGAATCTACCAGATTAAAAACCTTTTAATTCATATCAACAGAAATTTAGACCTCAGGTCTTTGGATATAATCCTATTTGTAATACTGACTGAGTATGGATGAGTTTAAGGAGAAAACTGCTCAATTTCCAAATTAGCATTTCAAAATTAATAACATTGACTTACACAGACATGTCATTTACTCACAAGCCTAGCTCATCAATGAATCATGTAGAAATCCCCCTGTAAATACAGACATCCTGGCCCTACTCAGAAATTCTCATTCAGTAAGCACTGGGTGAGGACCAGGAGGTTAAATGTGCAACCAACCGGAATAATCACAGTTCTACATAACCCAGAGTCTAAAGTGCTCTACAGACTTGAAGTCTGGGAAAGGAGAACAGACAATCCTTCCCAAATTGTAACAGCACTGAAGAAATCCTCTCAAGTGAATTTGACAGCGTTGTAAACAATTTTCACTCTCCCTCATTGGTGCATCCCAAAGAGCTATGCCAGGCTAGCACTGACTCACAATTCCCCCAGTTATTGTCCCAATATGAACAATATTTATCTGAAACTGTATTTTCTTTCTTTTTTTCTTTTTTATGTATTTGACATAGGATCTCACTATGCAGCTCAGACTCCTAGTGATTCTCCTGTTTCAGTCTCCCCACCCACCCAGTGCTTGGATTACAAGCGTGCACCACCACATTGGTCTCAGTGGCCAACTCAGCGTGCCCAGGGTGTGGAGCCAGCACAGCATGTGATGCCGGGCATCAAACCCCAGCCCCTAAGCTTGCCTAAGCAAGCACTTAGTCCACTGAGCTATCTCGTTGGACCTCCAAAAGTATATTTTCTGACCCAAAGGCAGTTCCTGAACTATTCTTGCCTACTATAAGGTATGCTTATTTTTCAATAATGAAATAAAATAACCCTAGGTTGGACTGTATCTGAAATGCCAGTTGAAAATTCTATAATACAGAAAGACCTAGACATGAGTACTGCATTTTCCAGATAAACATAAGATAAATTTTGGGTGACAAGTACCTTACCACATTCATGTATTAATTCCACAATTTATTCACTCAATACTTTACTCCAGAATCTACTGGACTAGCATTTAATAACACTGAGAAATTTATAATCCAATAATAGAGAAAACTGCTGGTTAGTTCACAGACTAACCACTAATCCAACTTTTATGGCCATGCATATTAGAGCACCTTAAAACTACAGTGATCAGAGGATTCACAGAGGCAACAGAGTCACTGATTTAAGTCTCAAAGTTCACACAGGTCCTACTGAACACTAAAAGTTAGGCAGCTCAAGTATAATTATGATCAATAGTAACCCTTCACTGGGCAAACTGATCCTCATTTTGAGAGTTCCAATTGGATCATGCTGGAAACCTAAAGAACTGCACAACCGTTAAGGGTAAATTTAGGTGTCAACATAGCCCTTTATAGCTGTCTGAAGACAAGCTCCTCTTCGGTGTCCTCATTGTGTTGTCTGCCTGCACATTAGCATCACAAGCACACCACAAACATGCCTATAGTTGCCACGGTGTCAATATTAAGTGACTCCCAAAGACTCATGCATTGAGAGGCTGATCCTCAGTGCTGCCATATTCAGGAGGAGGCTTTGCAAGACAACTGGATCATAAGGATGCTAGCTAGCTTGATCTGTGTATTAGTCCAGCCACTAACTTAGTGCTGGAAGTGCCACTCTGAGGTGGAGCAGATTGGAATCAGGTCGCTGGGGATGTAACCTAGAGGCCAGCCAACCAGAACTGAAAACATAGCCAAAATAAATGTCTTCTGCTCTATGTTGTGTCTGTCAAGTATTTTGTCCCAGCACTAGAAAGCTAACACACTACTCGGTGGTGGTCCTGAGAAACATCAAGAGATACCCAGAGATCAGAGACAGGACCAGTATTCCTGCACTTCCAGGATTTTCCTAGTGACAAGCACATACAAGTACATAGCATTAACTCAATAAGCACAGGTTAAATTATTAGGTTAGTGAATTCTGGTGTATTTCAAGAACACAACAGTTCTAAACTACTTCTTCCTTCCCTTCTTTCTTTTCCTGTCTTTTATTTTATTGTTTTTGTACCAGGACTCGAACTCAGAACATTGTGCTGGCCAGGCAGGCACCATGCCACTGAGCTACCTCCCCAGCCCCTACACTGTGCATCTCTTACCTCTCTATTCTCAGCTCCTGTCTATTAGCACCTGCCTCATTTGCCAGTATTGTCTTTCCTCTGTGATGTATTTTCTCTTCTTTCTTCCTTTATCCCTTTCCTATTCCATTTCCTTTTCCCCACCCTTCCCAGCTCATGTTGCAGAACTATAAAGCTTTCTTTGAGAAGGGAAGCACTGGATCACCTGCATAAGAAGACACCCCAAGTCCCAGGTTCGCCTGGGTTTATTTCACCACCTTCAGCCTTTCAGGTCCTCAAGGGCTTCTACAGCCATGGTCAAGGGAGCTAGGCATGTGCTCCGGCTGGTGGCAGACCTTGGTGTCATTCATACAGAGCTGGGTTTGTAGGCATGCAAATGCAAGAGTTTGGAGATCAGAGAAGATTCTATCCAGACTTCAAAGGAAGGTTTGGGAGGCCAGGCAGTGACCTCAAGAGGGCAGGGCATGAAGTTGTGAGAGTCAAACTTGAAGTGCAGTAGAGGTGCCTAAATGTTGGAGAAGCCAGGAACATGGATCACGGGCCATGGAAGGCCACAGGTGGTGAGCACTGCCATAGGGGCTGAGCACACAAACCCTTTGCATTCCCCCCACACAGTACTGCAAATAAACCAGCAAGTCCTATTGATTCCACTTTCAAAACAGATGCCAAGTGCAGCCACTTCCGTTGCCACCACCTGCTTCAAACCATCGTCGTCTCTCACCTAGGTTGTTCCAAAACCTCCGAACTCAGCCCCAGGCTTCCACGCTGGCCTCCTAGAGTCTACCCTCCCAATAGCAGCCAGAGTGATCAAAAGCACATGTAGGGGGCCGGGGAGATAGCTCAGTGGAGTAAGCGCTTCCCTGACAAGCGCAAGGGTCTGAGTTCAATCCTCGGTTCTGCCAAAAAAAATAACAAATAAAATAAAATAAAAAACACATGTAGGCTCCTTCCCCCTTTACTATGTGAGATCATCCAGCCACTTCCTCTTTTCACTCAAACTAGCATCAAACGCCTAATCTCCGAGATTTGCTAGATTTTAATGATCTTCTACCTATCAATAAAGTTTTCC